GATATCATTTGGCACGCGCGCCGTAGGTCACTGTTATTAGCGTAATTGTCTGTCGTGTGGGCGAACCATTGTTTATTATATTACGTAAAGCTAAGAGACTTAAGTACGTATAAAATGAGTACATGCTTAATATTAAATATCAAACTCAAATTTTGCATAATAGAGCTATTACAAATTAAAATCAGATAATGTAAATATTATTAATATCAATGGTGATTTATTACTAGGAAGTATATCTAGTCCAGATCTGTCAAAATAATGTGTAAAATTGGCGGTCAGACTTAAATATCAGTCACTAAATGCCAAATATCTAATAGCCCGAGAGCTCGTGACGAATTTTGGGAAGGTCCTTTTGGCAAGTTGAAATTGTGAAAAAATATAATTTCGTGAATTGGCGAGTCCAGTCCCGCGAGTCTGGTATAGCTTTAGCGGTTATTTCGCCACTGCGCAGTATACAACATTTGCAAAAAAAATATCCAAAAAAACATATTTTTAAATAAAACTATCTTTTCGGATTATTTCGCGGATTTATTTTGATTTTTGGTTCCCTAAACCAAAAATACCGCTAAAGCTATACCAGACTCGCGGGACGGGACTCGCTAATTCACGAAATTATATTTTTTTACAATTTCAACTTGCCAAAAGGACCTTCCCAAAATCGTCACGAGCTCTCGGGTTATAAAATTATATTATACTAACAGAACCCGCGGCTTCGCTCGCGCTAAAACTACAAAACAAGAACTAAAAAGGTACGTAGGTTTCATATAAATTTAATCCCCTATTTTACCCTCTCATGGGAAGAATTTCGAAAATTGCCAAAACACGTATTTATTTAATTGTATTGAAGAGCATTATAACCATGTTTCAAGTAATTCTGATCATAAATATTTTTTGGGTTGTAGTACAACGTGTTTTCCTGTGGGAATGAGATAATCTCCCTCAGTAGGTAATAAGCAGCCTCCACTCTCCAGTCCTTTAACTATCTCCACACAAAATAATCACGCTAACCCGTCATTCTGTTTTAATGTGATAAAAGAGCAAGCAAGCAAACAAACAAACAAACAAACAAACAAACAAACAAACAAACAAACAAACAAACAAACACTTTCACCTTCATAATATTAGTATGGATATCGTTTATCTTCTTACAAGATATTTTATAAATACATACATATAGCCGTAGCGAAAGTATTATACGTTGAAATTAGATCAATTTCGTGACTGCCTATCAAAGATCGAAAATTAAAATGATTGCATAGATACGTACTAATAGTATTACAAGCATGATTTTATAGCAATTTATATAACCTATAGGTGAAGCTATAGTGATATATAAATTAAATTATTTAGCTAAAACTGTAAAATTGCAACAAGAAGTTATGACTTTACATGCACATATATATTTACAATATATGTAGCTGTTTGTTCATTTAAAACGCATAATACCCCACACATTTGTCAGACAAGAACTTTACTCCCTGTTCCTTTGACTTATATACTCGTACTTAATTGTGTCAATCTGAAATAAAAAATAAACTGCAAAACGCTGTTGTCAAAATTACTATCAAAGAGCACTTTAAAGATGAACTCGTTAAAAGCAGCACTAGGTTGGCAGACGTGTAACCATTCAAATTTCGTAGCGTCACAAATAGAATTTGCGTATTATATTATTTCCCAAATATCAAACATTCTATTCTATTCTCTGAATTAAAAAAAATTTAATGCACAAACTTGACCCCGTCATTATTTTCTAGTCTGTAGCCACAAAATTATAATATTATTACATAATTATGAGATTTACTAAATTTAGGTCGCGTTTCTTTTTTTTATATTCTTTAAAATACTACTTGAGGTGGAAAACTAAAGTATTAAATTTAATTAGACACGCTTATCGCTTTATATCTAACTTCCTATAACTCTTCACAGTTTTTATATGACACTAGCATTGCCCGCGGCTCCGCCCGCGTTCAGATGACGAAAAACCAAATCCTTAGGTTTTACATATTAGTATACTCTTACATTGCAGTTTTTGTATTTTTTCTCAGAAATGAGATATTTTCCCGCAGTAAAAAGTATCCTATATGTTGACCCGGATAACCAGCTATCATCATACCAAATTTCATCAAAATCTATCCAGTGGTTTTCTCGTGATGCGGTAACAGACAAACAGACAGACAGAAAGACAGACAGACAGAAAGACAGACAGACAAAAAGACAGACAGACAGACAGACAAAAATTCTAAAAACTATAGATTCGAACTCTGTATCGATAATAATGTCTATTTCAATAAGATTTCCCAAAAAATATTTAATGTACAGATTCGACTTAGTTACAATTTTATTATATGTATACATTTTGGTAGTCTCCACCTCGTTAGATACGTTACATAACATTCACCACGGCGATTCTTCCGATTATGCGAATGTTGATTCATTTAATCATAACAGTAGTGATATGGTTTTGTTATGTATCTGTATTTATAAGTAAGCCAAGTAGGTAAGAAAGTAAGCCAACCAAGACTTTCTTTTCCGTCATTTTTAAGTTATTATTATAATTAGTGATGACGTGCCTTTCATTTCATATGGGCAACATGCTGTAAATAGATCTCTATAAAATAACTTAGTTAAGTTAAAAAATTTGTTACTTTTCAATTATTATCTGTAAGACCAGTCTAACTTAATAATTAAGGAAATATATCCAGTTTTACAATTATAGATTATGTATTTTACAAGAAAACCTCTTATATACGTTTTTATATATTATAAAATAACGTCGGCAATAATATTCTGTAATAACAATCCCACCTCGAAGTTGTAACACACTGACCGCCATGCGCCTACGTTGATACTTTGTTGCTGACATAACGGACTTGTATACTTGCCCCGTTAGTCTATGCCTCAATACGTAATGAATATAATTAAAGTTCATACGACTGTGTAATGAAAGGTAAACGAAACATTGCATTGAAAGAATATTCTGTAAATAAATTAAGCTACTTTTAAATATTGCAAAACTATGAATGGCCATGTCTGAATAACTGATATAAGTACATGGTTGGGATTTTTTTTGTCGGAACTAGCTCTTGTTATTGGGTTATGTTTTTGTTATTGGGTGACACTTTTTATTATTGGGTGATGTACATTAATATTGGTTCTCAAAGTCGAGCTTTATTACCCAGGCAATAAAGACCAACAGGTTTAGACAGTCCGCCTTATTTATTTTTATCCCAAGTGGTCTTGCCAGACTGAAATAACTACGGTACTAATGAATATGTATAAATAATTAATAATAACCTAAATATTGAATTATCCAATCTCTATCAACTTTATCTTTTTATTGCAATCTATTAGAAAATTTTGTCGCTGTATAAAATTTTCTTTGCTGGTCCATTGCTTCGACATCAAGGAAACCACGCCCTAGGGCAACAACTACTCATGTAATAACTTTCACAATAACAAATAACAATTACCCCCAATTTATTTCTTATTATTATGTTATAGAATACTAAGAAACTATGAACACTGTTAGATAATGTCCCTTTTAAAGTAAACACAAGTAAATACTCTGGTATAAATACAATTGGTTGATACAAACTTATAATGTTAATAATATCAAACTATAACTAATATTTATTTTATAATTATTAGGTTAGCACTATTTTACAATTTTATTTCGTAATATGGTTTATAATAAGAAATGACTTAAAATCAGAATAAATCCATAAATTCTTCTTCTCATCCCTGCCCATTTCCCAATCACTTGGGGTCGGCGCAGTACATCTTCTGTACTGCTGATAGGATTTGGCAAAACTTTTACGACCGGCCGCCTGCCTGACGTCAACCCTCCTTGGAAAATAAATCCATAAATTACATATATAAATTTGAGCGTGATCATTGCTTCTAAAATAGTTTATTTATATAAATAAAAATAAAAATAACCGTATGTACCATATAAGTGAGAACAGCTTGACCATTTGAGAAGTTGGAAAATTGGAAAAAGAGTTTTTCCAGGGAGTTGCAAAAATCGGGAAAAACTGAAAGTTATTTTGTGTAGAATTGTATTTTTATGAACTCTAAGTGCACAAATTTTATTGAAATTGAGACAGGACAACGACTGATAGACCAGCTAGCCTTACTAAAATAAAATATAAAATGTACCTACATAAATTAACTGGTATTCGAACTAATATTTTTTTAAATAACATGATTCAATGTAGATTATAAACTAACATTGTCATAGTCAGGATGTTTAAATACGAAACGGTCGATACGTAAGACACTGTACAGTAAGTACCTACTATTTAGGTTAATTTGCTGTTAAAATATCTAACATAAACTGAACTTTATTACGCACTGTAACCATTTCGAAATATTCTAAAAAAATTAAATATATAAAATTATCGACCCACTTCCTTAACCACTAACATTGTAAAAGTAGACCATTTTAACATCGAAATGTTTAATTGTTATCTTATGCAATTTGGATGAGGCATATCGGAACAATTCATTGTGGATGGCTAATTGTAAATGTCGAAATGCTATTGTTATTTTGTGATGCGCGTGCGAACATTCCGCAGCCGCTATTGTTGGAGTGTCTATCGCTAACTTATATCAAACCCTGTTATTAGAATGCAATAGTAAACATTGATTACACGCTGACTGTTGGATGTTTCAACCAACTGTCCTTAACGGCCTTATTTTTTTTTTACTTTCGTTTCTATTCTTTTGTCCAGTACATTTTGACCATTCCTTAATATGTCTAAAGCAGTCTTTTTATTTTTAATAGTATCAAATTATGCCGTATTTTATTGCTTCCGTTTTAACACTCAGACGAAGTAAACATCCATAATAATTGTCCTTTAAAATACATAATTTTTTTTTATCAACTCCAAAGAAGGAGGAAATTTTCAAGTGTGTGATAATACGTAATGTAATTGGTGTACATATATTCAGCTCTACCAGACGATAATTAATAATTTGTCATTGTTTCTGAATTTCAGATGCGACGGCAGGCTCGGATTTCAGCCGGCGGCGCGCTTGTTGTGCGTTCCGCCTCTGCTTTACAAGGTATTATTTATATTTTATTTAATTAATGATCTTAGAAAATAATCTGTTTTATTACAATTATACAATCATTACTTAATTAACTACTTTAAAATGTAGCATCTAGAGAGTAATCTTTAGCAACCATACAATAAATATAGATAAAGTTTAAGCTGGTGTTTGCAACACACTATTTATGAAACGAATTTTTTGCATAAGGGATGTAATATTGAACATATTTGACCGACTTTACTCTTCACAATCAACAGGAGAAGGTACTGAATTCAATGTATGTTTTTGTGTATGTTAGAAGATATCTTTGTCAATAAATATAAAACGATTTTCGTGATTCTTTTCAATAAATAGATTCCAAAAACTTTCAATTATTGCACTTATTACTTTTAAGTGATTTTGAAGTTGGTGTACCTCTTTTATTTAAATTGTAATTTATTAATGTATAAAGCATTCCTAAAGCAAAATTAAAATAGTTTATTTTAAAAATACACAAATATAGCTATACTATTTTCATTATAGCATGAATTCATTAATAAAATACGTTTGTTGCTTACAGACAATCGACTAAATAATATGAGAGTAAAGCGCAAAATCATAGATAAACTAGAGTTTATCTATGATTTTGTGACTTACTAGAGTAAGTGAAAGTAATTTAACCTCCAACATCGATATTCATTACTTTTCATACCTATTTAAGTTTTTTGGTTGTTAAATAACAATTTCAAAACAAAAGAATTTAATTACATACCACCGTTCCTTGTAGTGTTGAATAAACCATAATAAATAATAATATACACCGTAATTAAATTTTATTTATTTAAGAGTTCACAATCTAAAATATCAAAGTCTGAAACTTCTGAACCTTCATTGGCTTCAATGAATCTGAATCTGTTACTGCTATTATGAATGGTGAATCCACAAAGCTTTCAAAAAACCTTTATCGATGAAATTGATCTAATGTTGTCACTTCCCAATCCACACAGTACTGAAAGGTGTTACCTACACCGCGTTTTGGTGAAAATAGTATAACTTGTATAATTGATAGGATAAATGGATTAAAATATTGGAAAATGTATGTCAATCTTAATATAAAGACACCCAAGATACACAATCAACGTCTCAAATGTCCTCAAAAAAGAGCGCATAATTCGAACGTGGTCAAAAAAAGCAGCAATAATAAGTTTATTAAGTACACATTCCTAATAATAATAATTTTTACAGCAATATTATCAAATTTATTAAATTACAATTTTTCTTAGATAATAAAATAAATTTAACAACGACTCTACTCTATAAAGCTTGTATTCTCCTGACTCCCGAAGGTGATTGTTTTTCGGAAAACTTTAAAAACGTGACATAACTCATTGTTTTCATACGCGTAAGTTCGAATTTGTGTTATCTCAATCAGAACTTACGATTTTTGGGTTTTATTCTTTGGTTTGACTTATGATGGTTTTATATATCAATGGAATAGGATAACTAAAAAACTTCCATTTACATATATTTCAAAACTCGCGTTTATGCTATTATTTGTTAATGTTTTCTTTTTTATTCGAATGTATTTTGATCTATCTTTTTAAAAATCTGTTTTGTTTAATTTTCAGTTTGGCTGTGGTTGCTGCTTTTTGTATTCCAAAATGAATTTCGGATATCAAGGTCCATTCAACCAGGAGTAAGATGAAATTAATATTACAATTATAAACCCTTTGAACCGAGTATTTATACAAAATATGTTAAAAAAATTTATGATATTTAAAATTTATGATTAGTATTAGTATATTTAAGAAAAAAACTTTTCCTATTAGTCTATATACTCGAAGTTTCTAATTTTGCAGTAGTATTGAGATATTATGGAGAAAATATTTAAAACTTGTGTTTTCTCGTGGCTCCACCCGCCTCTTTTAATTTTGTAGAATTACTCTGCTTTCATGGGTCGTAGTGTGTGTGATATATAAGACAACCTATAATCTTCCTCAATAAATAAGCTGTAAAAAGCCAAAAGAACTTTTAAAGAGCGTTAAAACAAATAAACAAACAAACAATCTCGTGACCTATATAAATTAGTATATCTAACGGCTACATCTTTCACAGCAAAGATTGAAAAGGGTTCGTACAAAGCTAACACCGCTTAATCATTAATATCACACAGAAAAAGTTAAATGAAATTGAAACGTCAACATTTAAATAAAAAGGTTTAAATCTACTGAATATTGTTTTTAACGGCAACTTGTAAGTGACATTTCAAAGGGTTGTCATACAAGTTAGGCTATGCCTATGTAATTGTGCCGTATAGTATAGCTTTGTACAGCATTAACAGTTAAAAATTCTCTCCGATTGTTTGACTGTCAATCGCAATTGTCAATGTGCTACGTTATTGTCAATTGCAATTAAAGTGCGATTGATGCAGTGTTCAATGTGTTACACTAGACTTTTTTTTATTTTTGTTCGAATAATCTTTTTATTTAATTCTACATAACTCAGGGCGATAAAGATATTAAAAGTGAAATAGGTTCACGGTCCTCTAAATTACGTGGGATATCCACCATGTTTGTTATTTAATTTTATTTTTTAATAATAATTTAAATAATTTTATTTGTTCAATTCAATTGTTTTTTTTGTTGGCTGTCAGACGCGCGAACTTCGAAAACAGAACGGAAACGATTTTCAATTACTCAGTAAACGATCAACTGGCAACTTCAATGACTCCTGTCATGGATCATCAAACAAAATTTCCATCAATTGCTTTCAATCACGTAACTGTGATTGACAATCGCTTCAATTGTACTTGTAAACGATCAATGACGATTGACAATAACGTAAAATTGGCAATTGCGATTGATCGTCTCGGGGCAGCTTAAGGCTGATGAGATCTCTAGGCCTATTTGCGTTATTCTTTTTTGTATACGAAATTATACAATCCTGCCGAAATAGTACACTACCAACTCCAAACCTATCAATAGGTAGCACATACAAATAATAGTATTTTACTAATATTAAAGGTATTAGGTTTGCATAAGAGGTGTATTAAATTAAATCTTTATTATGTTATTTTATATTTTTTAGTTTTTGAAGTCGGTTTTTTTAAAAGTAGTTTTTTTTATTTATTTTGAAGAAGTTTATGACTTTTGAATAATTTTCATTTTGTATTTATTTTTGTAACACATTAAAGTGTGTTTGTAACTTTGTTGTAACCGTATTAATAATTTACTAATTTTATCTTTTCATTTCAGTATTTGGACTTTGATAACCTTCCTGAAACAAATTTTACTTGTACCGGAAAAGTTATCGGTGGTTACTATGCGGACCTTGAGACCTCCTGTCAGATGTTCCATGTATGCACTGTGGGACAACAGGAGGAGCCCATGGACATCAAGTTCCTTTGCCTTAATGGTACCGTCTTTGATCAGGTAGGCATATTGTATACTCTTTATTGTTTAAATTCAAAAAAAGGTATTCAATTCGATTGTATGTCTTTTTGTATGTTAAGCAATTTCTTTACCAATTATAAATTAATTTCCATAACTCTTTTTAATGAATTAGGCTTAAACTTAAGGGTTTCCATATATAATTCAAAATAAATCTAACCTTAGGGTGGAATTACTTTTAAAATGATTTTAAAAACAGTGTGTTTTTTTTCTATATTTATTAAAATTGTTTAAATGTAATATATCGAAACTATATAAATTAGTAATAGTAATGTTTCACATTATATATATTTGGTCATTGAAGAAATCCATTAATAATTCCAGGAGACGCGTGTGTGCGAACGAGTTGATGAAGTAGATTGTACTAAATCAGAAAAGTTTTATAGCCTAAATTTAGAATTATATGGTAGCACTGCGCCACCAATTATTCAACCAGACCCAACGAAACCTACACCTAAACCAACAGAACAATCACATTTGCCAAACAAGCCTAGTTCTACAGATACATCAGATCCCTTTGCCAATGATTCAACAACGCCAGATAAAAATTTAAGTTCATCAGTAGAAACAATTGATTCCACGGAAGATCCAATACAAGAGATAAGAAAAGATGAGCAAAAAGTTACATCTAGTTATCCTCCATTGCCATCCAAGCAAGAAGAACTCAGTGAAGGTACGTTATAAATTAAAAAAAAAATGTTTTTTTCTACTGTTATATATGAAACAAATTATACATGAGAATAATAAAAATATATTTATAACAACAATTTTGTTAAAACAGAATATGAGGAAGACGCCGATGTGATAGACTCGGAAGGCCCTGAATATGATGAAGAATATTCACGTCCATTAACAACTACCACTATTCAAACTATCACAACAACATCTACAACTACGAGAAGACCAACTACTAGTAGTGTATTATTGCAATCTACTACTCATCAAACTTCTGCTCCTTATTTAAACTCTTCGCCGTCACCCTCTATATCTTCGTTGGCACCTCCAATTCACTCTACATATGCTCCATCACCTCCATCGTCCACTTTAGATCCTGCACTCTTATCGCCGCAAGAATTTATTTACCGTCATCGTGGTCCAGGATCTGAAGCTATCTCTTTCCAACGACAAAGTTTTCGTCCCGCCGATGGTGTCTATATAACTCACGCACCTCAGCACCAATATGATCATTTTCAATACGAATCTTCAAGAACGGCACCAAGACCTGTTGCACCTCGACCAGTGCCATTTGTTCAGCGCCCTCAACCAACACCATTCCGTCCCACTACAAATGATCCACGTGATCAAATGCTGAGGCCTGGGTCCAACTCTGCGCCTTCGGACAGATTAGAAAGCTCTATAAAACATCGCCCACAACCTTTTCCTTCGCATTTACCGCCTCAGCAGCCATTGCCATTTAATCCTTTCTACTATGATCGGAAACGCAGCGACGATATAATTCCGGAAAACGAATCTACACTATCAGCTCGATCTGTAGCTCCACCTACTGTGAAAGAAAAAAGGTTGCCTAAACCAAAAAGTCCTCCGCGTGTTATAGTTACAGCTAGTGCTTCTGTAAGTGACAGTAATGGCAAAAGACTAAATTACACTGTTGGTAACGTAGTTAGTGCTGTAAAACCTATAGTACCGATCAACTATGACGATTATAAAGAGTCAGATCTTCTTTTTGATCCATTTTTTCTCGATGTGCCAAAATTACAAGCGCGACGAAAGACTAGATCAAGTAAATATAGAAAAGTTGTGACTGTTCCTGCGCCTCCAACTATTTCTGCAAAGGTTACCACTGAAGCTGCACCTGCGTTTTCACCAGTGACCTTACGAGCTACAACAACAGAAGTTACATCGACGTCAACATCTACGACCACGGCAGCTTGGAATCCTGAGGATTATGTTGACGATAATTATGAACCTCACGCATATATTCCTCCTGTTCCTCCATTAGCAGTTCTGGTAACTAATGACCAAGTCATTTATAAAAAACAAGAGAGGCCATTAATAAATGATGTACTAGACAAAAAAATTAAAGTTCGTAAGGAAGAAATTACTCAAAAAGAACAGCCAAAACCGATATTATCTATAGCGCATACAATCTCTAGTCAAAGTGTGGGCACTGAGGCTACGGTGCCGGCCACCTCACCGACTCCTATCGAGGCGCCCGCCTGCATCACTTCGCGCTCCACTAACTGTCCGATTCGTGCCTAATATTTAGCTCACTTAATTCATAGATAAGTAGTTGCATATTTAAATAGGTAGTTAATTTTAATAACTTGAAATGAAATTATTTTTCTTTTCTGCACAATATGATTGATTCACATAATCTAAAAGGTGTGAACGAATAGATTTTTTTATATTTTTTTACAATTAAAATACGATATTTAAAAGTTTACATATTTATAAAATATCTACTTCTTTAATGGCTACTACTACTTTATACTGTACATAAATAGTTAAATCACTTTCGTATAAATAGTCTCCTATTAATATTTTATTGTAATAAATATTTTTCCATTATTCTGGCTAAAAAATTCAAAAAAGTTTTGTAAATATATATTTTAAAATATACAATAAGTTTAATATATTTTGTATTTTTATTTCAATCTTCTTTGATTTTTCCTATAATATATTAATTTACTATCGCACTAAATATTTATAAACATAGAATAAAATAAAAGTAAAACGAAGCATTTTTTTAAATACTCGTAATAAGTATAATAAATTTTAAATATCTTCAAAGTTGTACTGTGTAGTGTGTACGTTACATTCTTGAGATAATACACAATGAACCGAGTTGATACTTGATAGCTTGGAATAGAAATGAAATAAATCGCGTATCAATATTATTATTGAAACATACCTCCTCGTCTTAAATTACTAACCTTAAATTCCGTTTTTCTTAAACTTAGCTTGAAATATACTTTGTGTATAATTACATAATGACGACCAAATACAATAAGCACATAATACTTTTAATCTACCGTTTCTGCTTTTCCATTGCTACTGTTAAAACCACATTTATTAGCATACTAACGACTCACCCTCGCTTCGCTCGGGTTCATCCCAAGCTTGCTTCCACATACAAACTTGCATCCCAATTCTCACCCCCTTAAGATATAATTTCTGGGATGAAAATGCCTCGTTCACCACATTTATTCCACTATACTAGCATTACCCGCATCTCCGCCCGCGTTCAGATGACCAAAAACCAAATTCTTAGGTTTTACATATTACACTTTTTTTAGATTTTCAAAAAAATATTTAATGTACAGATTCGGCTTAGTTACAATTTTACTATATGTATAGATTATAATATTATATAATACCTACTTATATTTGTCGTTAGTACAATGTCAACAATTGTCAATCATGATAATAAATAAAGTGCTCAGCCAACTAGACATAATTAAGAAGATACGCATAGAATAAAAGATATAATAAAATAAATATCAAAAATATTAATCAACATGTCTAATTCTAGTATAATGAGCATACGGGAATTAATAGACACTGCTTTTGGAGACTTTGATGTAAGAACAAAAGTACCGGTGAAGTCAACTGCTATTAAAAATAAAATGATGCTTAAATATGTAGTAATAGTCATGGCCACGAATTATCGCTGCATATAAAATCCATAGTAATGTTTAAAATAAGTTACATTAATTCTTGTATTTTACAGGAAAATGTAGTAAATTTTAAGCTTATACAGACTGTACTTCTTATACTTGCAAAGCAATTACGACTTTTACAACGTCGTGTTGAAGTTAACATTGACCCTAGCACTATGATTCGTACAACATCCAACATATCAATAACCGAGGTAAAACTAAATGCAACTGTTCCCAAACGAAGGAAAAAATATATTGAGACTGACAAAGAAATAATTACCAAAAAACCTGTAGCAGCTGATAGTACAAAATCATCTGGACCTGTTTCTTTAAAATCGACAACAGACAAATCGTCTGAAAAAACAACATCTAAATCTTCTACAGATAAGTCATCATCAATAAAATCCTCCAACCGTGAAAGCAGCAGAGACAAGGTAATTCATATTATTCATTTCTTCTCTTACCTCTTATCAAAAATAGTGCATGTTATTTATTAAATATTACAAATTCAAATTTCGTTTAGTTTGGCTCTCAAGCGTATCATCACCTCTTGGAAGTAATAGAACAACAACGAGAACGCGAGTTAAGAATCGTTAATCAGGTGCATGAAGAAACAAAATATCTTTTACGCTTTATTTTATTTTTATTGTTTCTTTTTCAGCAATATTATCTCGAAGTTTTTTTTTAATATTATTCTACGACTAAGGTAAACTACTTTTATTCTAAAATAAAATAGTCCACAAAAATGACAGCAATACAAGTATAACGTAACCACTGGCACATAGTTGCATAAGTTTAGATATTAATAGCTAAACATTTATAATACATGTTTGATGAAAGCACTTAGCACCAACTAGATCTGTACAATGTTTACTCGTATTTTTTAAAATAGGTCCAATTCTAGATTTCAAGTGGGACTCAAAACCAGTAGGTACTTCTGGCAAAAAATAAAAAGTTTGACAACTACAGCAAAGTACCCAAACTCTATTGTATCTATAAAAATATTATTAAAAAGTGGATTTTATAAGATTATTTTTTTATTATCATGCAGAGAGCGAATTCTCGGGAAGAAGCAGAGAAATCTCCAACGCCTATGGCTTCTTTAGATTCTATGGGTACAATATATCATAATATTAGTTATTTATGGCTATAATTTATTTATTGAAAGAAAAGTATTTAATTCATTTATTTTTTTATCTACAGAAGTACAGTATGAAAAACTTTTAATTGGTAAGAGATACATAAATTTTATCGTTACTTTCTTTTCTCTCTTTTTTCATCTTTTTATACAAGTTTATTATTTTTCTATAGTGGAACGAGCGCCGACAGATACTATTGATGCAAAGACTGGTAGCAGTTATCTACACTAAAATTATATTTTAATTCTTAATAAATAAATATCTACAAACCAAAACATTTTTAGAACATCCCTATGACACAAAAGGACTATCTATTGTGACTCAAGATCAATTTGATAAATTGGCAATGATAGTTAAAGAACTGCAGGAAAAATTTCAACCAATTGGTAAACCAGATTTTCCTGATAATATGCAACTTATGCATGATCTCCGAAAAGGCGCCTCTTTAACTGATGCTATGGCTGCCTTACAATTATCTGCTCGCCTGGATTCTGCAGAGAAAACTTTGGAACAAATGATGTCATTAATGACTGAACTCGCGAAACAAAAAGGCATTGACTTATCGACATTGCAAGGCGTAAGGAATATATTGCTATAATTTTATTTTTTATTTCTGTCTGGTATGGAGTCTTATATTCAAATTTTACTAACTCTTATTATTCAAATAATAGAAAGATATGGAATCACATGAAACAAAAGTCATCTTTGACACCCCAAGTGATTCACAAGATGCTCATGGGCGGAGGTCAACCTCGCGTAAGCAATCTCCAAAGAGTACGAAAAAGTCAACTTCACTAAAAAGTAAAGGTACAGGAAAAATACATTACGAAGCAGCTGCAGACTTAACTGAAGTCTTGGAAATCGATGATTTATCAAAAACACAACCGGACCGTATTACAGTTATTGAATTAGAGTAAGTAACTAAAAGTATTTGCTTAAACAAAAGACAATACATGGGTACATATATGTAAATAATTAAAATATAAATTACAGTGAAGCAATGCAAGAACTTTATGACAGCCTTCTTAAAGCTGTAACAGGTACAACTGGCAAAGCGGCAGCGAACGCTGAAGATGCTTTAAACTTAGCTCATAAATTAGGTACTTAAATAATTACGCTCCAATTCTTACATTGTAAACATAATAATCATTTTTTATTTTGTGTTATGAAAAATAATAATATTTAATAATTACAGACAACATTTAGTACCTAATTCATTTAATAATTTACAGAAGAGAGGCTGAATAATGCTTTAAGTTTGACTAACCGTATGGAAGATTTAGAAATATTAGTTTCTGAATACGCCCAGCAAATAAATATATTGGATACTGGGCTTTCTTCACAGGCATGAAATAAGTTTTAAGACCGTGGTCTATAACAAACCCTATATACGTCTGACGATATTCTGTACCCGAGCCGCAAGTATTTATTTTAAAAATTCACTATTCGTGGGCTGTGTGCGGCATCCATACGTTGTAAAACGCAACCGCAGTAATTTTGGAGCATTTTAAAAATGGCGAATAATTAGAATTAAAAAAGAAAGATTACTCATATAGTTATAATTATTATAAATAATTTATATAGAATACACGAGAAAAAATGACACACGTTACTTAGGTATTTCCGTAGAAACCATCAATAGGTTTCCAATCCGAAGTTGGAAACAGTGTCCAGTCTCGGCTGATGCTAGACGCCATTTCGAGCATTTGTTTTAGACCACGGACTTTCTGATGTTTTATTATTTTATTTGTAATTAGAATAAATATGACGTACATAAATGTCCGTAATATATACAAAATATTACATATAAATATGCATATATATAGATGACAAATTATCAAGAACAATTGACACAAATGCAGCATGACTTAGAGGCAGGCTTAGAATCTATGGGTGAAGCTCTTGCAAATACAGGAGGGGACACTGCGGGTAAATTATATTTATTTTAAGTTATAATTAAGTGTGATACATTAGACACATGACAGATAATATAAGTTTGTAATAAATTCGTACCTCAAATTCTATCTAATCTAATTTACCCAGAAGATAGCTTAAAATTTTATTTTTGTAAATATGTACTATTAATATTATTTTTAAATTGTAGAAAATATATATTGAATATTTTTGATATTTATATAACGTATAGTATGATGACTAGAACAGCTTTTACAACGAACCTAAAAGAGGACATTTTTAGATTTATCTATTTATAGGATATTTATAGTTATATTCACACAATCACTATATTATGATTGTTCCAGCTGTTTCTGAATTAAACTCAAACTTCACTGACCTCCAATTAGACCTCGAAATTACCAATATGAAACAAAAAGAATTAAAAGAGAATCAAGATTTACTATCTACCGATCTCCAAGTATTCTTTTTAACTTTTTGCTATGCACATTTTGAAACTAAATATAGTACATAGATATAAATAAGTAAATAAAAGTTGGTAGACAAATCATATAAATAATTAATTATAATTATTGTTAAATTTAGTCCCTATGGAATCAAATCGAATTTCTTGTTGGAACAAAATCTGATCGTGAAGAGGTAGCAGATGCTTTACGGGATAAAGCTGGACTAGGTGCTTTAAATGGTTTAGTTACCCATCAACAATTTGACGCTGTCCGAGGTGATTTTGAAAAACGTATTGGAGCTGCATATGACAAATTTAATAACCAAGAAATTATTTGGCAGGTTAAAAAGAAAACTTTAGCATATTTTACAAAGAGTTATGTTTTATGTCTTATATATAATTTAATAACTTTTAGAAAGCCATAGATGATTTACTAAGAGAATTGAACGAAAAAGCCGATTGGGTCCAAGTAGCATCTTTACGTGACGATGTCAACGATAATCTTGAAAAATTAAGAAAGAGAGTTGATGAAATGATGAAAGTCGTGGGTGAGCCCCGAGCAGCAGCTATATCGAGAACATTATTTCAAAATGCAGCATGTCTCTCATGTTCATCCCCTGCACATATGCAATTAGAGGAACCTAACATACCAATCTTGCCAGCTTTTTCGAAAGCTACCCGTCAACCTTCAATCGGGACAGATGATGTGAAACCTAAAGAAGATGGCGATCATGGAATATGTTACCCTGGCAAACCTATCCCCCATCCCCCAGATCCCAGGTATATTATAAATATAAAAATAATATTATCTGATATCTTAATATATTTTATTCATAATGAAATAACGTACGCTAACTATGCTGTTTAATTAAAACTATTTTAGATCGCATTTCTGTCAACGGTATTGTGGTGGATCACATACAAAAGTATCTACAACTTTAAAAAAAGCTCCGACAGAAATAATAATTACCCCACAGCGTCAAGTGACACATGAGATTGGTTCAGATGGAAAAGTATGACATTAATTATACACCTTTTTAAAATTATTTTCGTATTTCGTACGTCATTTTAATTTAATTCCTTGATGGCTTTCAAATTCTTTTATTCGTGCTATAAAATATAATTTTAATAAATAATAATTTTAAATATGCTTGGTTAATATTATATTAAGTGCAATAGTATATTGACGAAATAATTATAAAGAGATCTCAGGTCTCTCTCAGTCATTCATGCAGGGCTACTTCGAAAAAATATTTTATTCAAATCTATTCTTACTTGATTAATAAGGTCTACCGTACCGATGAACCACAGCAGAAAAGAGTACCTTGTCTACCTTGCAATTCGCCAGAGAGAAAAATTTTGCAGCCTCTTGAAATCGAAACGGGTACCTCTTTATATATACTATTTTAGTTATATATAAGTAAATATAATATTTATTTAATATTTCAATATATTTACATTTCACAGCTGTTAAATTACATATTTAAATAATTCTTATTATATAATCCAGGGCAATCTCGTCATGAATTTGGATCTGATTCTGACACAACTTCATTGGATTTTATACCTCAATTGAAGTCTTCGATGGAACAAGCAAGTGATAATGGATCTATGATACCACCACCCACTGTTGATGATAAAGGCTAAACTAAAATCAGTATAAACTTCCTAAGAATTTTGGCGAATCATATTTTAGAAAAAAATATTTATTTGTGTATAATTTTGCATCGCAATAAATATATATTTTTAAATTATATTCTGAAATATATTATTAACTTATACTCAAAATATACTTTATTCAAATTGACTTTTAAAAGCACGATTCAAATCGTTATGCTTTTAGTAATAGTTTTACATTTATGTAAATCCATTCAAATTAGGCAAAAAACTCCATACCACGGATGAACGGGCATATGCATAGAGCTACAAATTAAAAGAGGCTTTTAATTATATTGAAAGACTTCTTAAGTCCCCTTGAAACCTGCTTAATTATGCGATGTTTTTTGTTAAAATTTAAATGTCACAAAAACAAGTATTTTGTTGATAACCATTAAAGAGTAAGAATTATAACAATATATAATAAGTACAATGCGTTTCTCGATAGTGTCCTACAACTTACAAGATAGCCAAATTTGTTCCACAATAAAAGACAACTAAACAGATTACTCGCCATGTTACTACGTAGTTTACACATTTCGGGCTGGTTACTATGAATTTCTTGGCATTAAACCCAACAGCTATAGTTAGTTGACTTGATACGGAACTCGAACCTAGGACTTAATCTCAATATTTTGTAATGGTCACGTCATGTACGTATAATTTTTTAAACTAAACTGCCCATATGTTAATTAAATGAGCAATCGATTATTCTAAATAAATGATAATCGTAAAACATCAGTCTTTATTGCACTAGTTACAGCCCTATATGTCAATTGTACTTGTCAGTTGTCAGTGTCAAATATTGGCCGACGTTTTAGAAGGAACTTATTTCCTAATTTTTCATTAATAAAGTCTAAATAGTAATATTTAGTCGTTGCTTATCTATTTGCTACATAATAATATACAAATTGACATTATATTTTACAAAATTTATAAATTAAATATTTTAACCTAAACAATTTGAAAAGCAATTTCACAAATGCATAAAATCCTCGAGTTTCAAGCAGTTGTTCTAGCAGCAGGTAGAGGTTCTCGTTTACCTGATGTTGGCGGTACAGTATCAAAATGTCTTCTTCCAGTTGGACCATACCCTGTCCTCTGGTATTCCTTAAATATGTTAGAAAGACATGGCTTTCAAGGTAGGTTTTAATGTTCTAATAAGAAATTTACTTAAGTGTTAAATAATATTAAATCATTAGCATAAATATTAACATATTTGTCTTAATTTGTAATTAATTTTAAGCATAAGTAATTATATAGTAAGTACATGTAGTTGGCAAGGTATGGAAGTGAATACCTACAAAAACATTAAATTTATTGCAGAGACTATGGTAGTGGTGCTTGAAGAAGACAAATCTAACATTCTCAATGCACTGGAAAAATGTCCCTTGAAAATTAAGTATGAATTAATTGTTATCCCCTCCTCAATTCTTGAAGACGGCGGTACTGCAAATACTTTAGAACACATAAGTAGTCGTGTAACAACAGATCTAGTAGTGGTATCTGGTGATCTAATTAGCAATGTTAATTTAAATGAGGTTCTAAACCTATACCGCAAGCATGATGCAACCCTTGCTACCTTATTCTTTAATAATGATGTGGAAGAATGGTTTGAACTACCTGGACTGAAAAGCAAAGCTAAACCAGACCGAGACCTAGTCTGTATAGACAAGGAGACACAAAGGTTAGTATTTTTAGCCAGTGCCAGTGACTTTGAAGGAAATGTGAAACTACCAAGAGTACTTATAAAAAAATTTCATACAATTAGTATGTATAGTAGATTATTAGATGCACATTTGTATGTAATGAAAAATTGGGTTATAAATTACCTTGTTAAATGTGACAAGTTTACTTCGATCAAAGGAGAACTTATTCCACACATTGTCAAAAAACAACTTACTAAACCCAAAACTACCTCTGAGAAGAAAGACATTACAGATAAAAAAACTGATAATAAAATAGACATATTTGACTTTGCGCATGAACATGGCTATGAAAGTAAGATAAGGGAAATGTCAGTATACAATGATCACAGCCTAGGTAGCAAAGGAGTTTATTACAATGATATCCTTAGATGCTATGCTCATATACCTGACAAAAATACTTTTGGTATTCGTGTAAATACTTTATCTGCATTTAATTTATCAAACAAAAAGGTAAGCAGCACAAATTTTAAACTTAAAATTCTGTAACAGTTTTATACATTTAACTATTTACTTTTGTTTAAATTGACTTATACTAACACAACAAATATTTTTATTATACTTTTCTTATATTTTATTATGATAAGTCTGCTTTTAAATGCCAGTTCAGATTAATTTTGGTTTGATTTCACTTGAATTCTAAAATTTTGAAGTTATTAAAACTGCTATCACAATACTTTTTTTTATTGACTTAACAGATACTGTCTAAATGGGAAGAAATAACAGGAACAGTCCTTACTGAAAGAATTCATTCAAACAGTGATGTAAAAACTAAGCAAATTGATGAAACATGTACTGTTGGTGAAAAAACAGTAATTGCGGAAAGAACATCCATTAAAAGTACATTTATTGGTGCAAACTGTACAATTGAGAACAAAGTCAGGTTGACAAACTGTATATTAATGAACAATGTCACAGTAAAAGAGGGGTGAGTAAGATACATCATAACTAAAATAGAAAATAATGAAACCCACCTACCCCAATTATGCCAAAATCTTTCTTTGAATGAAGTACTTGTTTATATATTTAGGTTTTTTTTTTCATTTAAATTGATTATTATAATTTAATTACATCTTCATAAGTGCTAAATCTCTTCACTTATATAAACATGATTTTCTATGCAAACCGTTTTCAATACCCTTAACCCTAGTATATATTTTAAGCCTTAAATGGAACATGGTGAAACTGTAAAACCACAAAGGCCACAAGCTATACTCTCTGAATAACACAGGGTATTTTCAACCGACTTCTTCAAAAAGGAGGAGGTTCTCAATTCGGGTGTATTTTTTTTTAAAATTTGTTACCTCAGAACTCCGTCATTTACACCACCAATGTGGACAATTTTTATTTTGTTTAAAATTTAATAAAATATGTAAAACATAGTAATCCATTTTGCATGTAATAAAAAATGTGATGAACAGTTTTTAACCGTGGTAAACAACTCATAAAATATAAACAGCGCCATCTCACGTAGTGTAAGTTAAATAACAAAACTAATTTTACACCAATCAGGAAAGTTACGAAAATACAATTTAGATAGCATTATTTCATATTCTGTTACCTATAATTTTTAATATATATGAATACAAAATACACCTTTTGACGTAAAATGATTTAAAATCACATCGAAACATACGGGTACCAGGTCAAAAAAGTGGACCGTATAGAAATAGGTTGCCTTAGGTTGTCATAGTAACCGTTGTTATTCTCTGAAAAATGGTATAATATGTGATATTCTTTCCGGTGCTATCTTCAAAGATTACTATTTTTACTAATTTGTTTTCAAATATGCAAAATGCTTATAAGAAACAAAAACACTAAAAGTGACTCGCTGATTTAGACGTTTCACGTTAAACCAACTGCTGTGTGCCCCGACACAGCCCCACCCGAGTTTTTGAGATTTTCTTTTATTGAATTTACATATAATTTGATACAAGTAACGCCATCTATTGACATATAATTTAACTATTTTCTTCTTTCCTGATGAGAGACCCCATGGTTACTATAATTTGTATGCATATAATTATTGTGACAGGTGCGTGCTTCAAGATTGCATTATCTACACTGGAGCTACGTTATACAATGACTGTAATCTCCAATATTGTCTCGTTGGACCTCATCATGCTGTGCCTTCTTCATCCTCAGGGAACCATATGCTATTGGAGAAAATTACTGATAATATGATTACACTTGGATAAATTAAAATAAATTTCACAACAATTTTGTTTTTGTTATTATTAGATAATTAGAGGCTCACGTTTTAACGTTTAGTATAGATTTCTCAAAGATATTTTACCGCAGTGAAAAGTAACCTATACGTTAACCCGGATAACGAGATATCATCATACCAAATTTCATCAAAATCTGTCCAGTGATGCGTTCCCAGACAGACAAAATTCAAAAAACTATAGATTCAGCCTCTGTATCGATAATAATGGCTATTTCAATAAGATGTTCCAACCAATATTTAATGTACAGATTCGACTCAGAATTATGTATAGATTTCGTTTAAATACCTACCTAATCACATATGATGATAGCTTTATAAATTGCATTGGTTTTTAAATATAAAAATTACACTACTAAGTTTTATCAAATTTAATTTTTAATAGCATTTTTTGTGTGAGAAAAAAATATTAATAAATGGCAATTATAAACAGATACTTACTATTATGATTTTCAAAATTAGAGTATTATCATGTAATTACTTGAATAAATACTGAACGCAGGACTAATTGCTAGGAACCCTTACTCTATATAACTTTTTAATATTGTAATTTTTGTTTACATGTAGGTAATTCTTGTCGTTGATTCCAAGTTAACTTAAACATTCAGCAAAATTAGCAAGCCTATAAAGAACCTAATTCTCAAGAATTACTGTACATATTATCCCGAATTGGTGATTTATATTCGGTTTCGATAAAAGCAAGTCTAGTTTCTTTCGCCAGTTCTTCTCAGGTCTGAGGCTTCTTCTTTCCGAACTGATAGTAGACTCATGACGTTCAGTAAAAATTGTAATAATTTAATGCTGAATAAAATATTTTGAATTTTTAAATCTTGTTTATAAACTTTGATGGATGAATGGATTTGAGGGAAAAATAATGGAGAATAATATAAAAAAATGTGTTTTATTTTGAGGCCTACCTCAAAGAGTATTGTAATATTCTTAGAATTTAATTAAGAACTTATTAATAACGTACACATTTATTTACAACAAAGACTATTTACAAGTAATAACTAAATACAACTTATAAGAAATACTACGTTTGTCACGTTGGTTTGTGGACTAAAGTATGATAAGTAACAAATATTAAAAATCATTCATACATCACGTCATACAATAAAAGGAACAGGTGAAGATCCTGTAAAATATAAATAAGGCGAAAACTTTATTTATGTTTAGATTAGTTTACCCACGGGCGCCGGCAGAATTATTTCCAGGCATCTGCTACTACTATTTAATTTTTAAATGATTAACTTTATTCATGTTTTATTTATCTTTTTTTTCGCAGAGCTAAGTAGAGTTATATTTAGATAATTTTAACGGGGATTTTACTAATAAAATTTTATTTCTTTAACTTTTTCTAAGCTTCTAATTTTCCTTCATGGCAAGAGGTGCAAGTGCACCCCCTTGCACTCTCCTCCCGGCACCCATGAGTATAACCACAGATAACGCAATACTATTAAATACTATATTATGTCATTATGTCAACTTGTTTCCATATTTTTATTTAATTTCCCGTGTGAATCTATCTCCTTACACGTCGACGTAATGTATAAATGATCTTAAAAATGTTTAAACCATAAGGTATATTTCCAGAGAGACATTCAATATAATACTTCATTGATTAAATAAGTATAAATAAATAGTATTAATTAATACATTCAAGTACTATTTGCATATTAAATAATATTTCATTATATTACTTTAAATATTGTTCGATGTCAATGAATCCTTGCGAATGATTGAATTATGTACACTTAAAAATGTATAATTTAGAATCTGAATAGTTCCCTGTATCGGTAATATCACTGGGACAAACATCACAAGTCACACCCTTTAAAAGGTCTTTTATCTGACACTAATCGATTTAATAATAAACATCCAGAGCTGATAGTCTATATTCATTTTTTTTATGCTAAATATATATCAAGAGATCGCAAGTTCAATTCCTAGCACTATAATACTGAAACAAATCATGAAATTCCGGCATTTAAAAGTTGAAACAACTACTCATTTAATGAACATATTCAAGAGAAGAGAAGAAGTAAAATATTGCTAAACAAAATATATTATTATTAAAAATTGAATATATTCTATCAGTCTGATCTACGTTTATTACTAAGTCATTAAAGCTTTTAAACATTCAACAGTGAACTCCCACATAGAGTATGGCACAACTAACTGCTGCAGTTGTCGTAGAAACTTGCTGAGCCTCTGTTTGGTATTTCGGCGAATTCCCGCTTTGGCGTGCAAAGCTTGCTACTGAAGTCGACGTTTCGTTTCCTGTATTTTTTATAATAATTGTGTTAATACATACGCAGGTTTGCAACTATACATTATAAATGTTATATACATATTTTTAACTCACAAACGATTTTTATATTTATACACATCACATCAGTAAAAATGTAAGGTCGTGAATCCATCCAGACTAATAAAAGTTTTTGTTTGTCCTTTAACGCCACATCGGAGAGAAGGATTTTAGTGATCTATATATGGACAGTTTAAGACCTCGCGAGGTTCACTCATGAGGTCTAGTAGTAGTAATACTTTATAAGGTAATAAACAAAAACATGAATGTTCTGTTTGCTATTTGATACAAATAATGGCGATTTTATTTCTATCGCTTTTTACGGTATCTGTAGCTATTTTAATATTACCGGTACCTTTACGAAGACCTTCTTTGGGTCATAAAATATAGTTAAAAATAATATTATAATATCTATTTATGATGCAATACCCTCTGCTCGGCAGTTCCATTTGATCGACAAGAACAGACTTGACGTAAAGGCGGTCGTTACACCATAAAATGCAAAGCGATCGCGGCTCCAGTACATTCATATCATACTCCCACGATAACTCCACCTGCAAAATAGAAACTGTTATTTAATTTTTATAGCCCTATAAAATAGGTTTTTAATTTTCCCAAGGAGGGTTGACGTCAGACAGGCGGCCGGTCGTAAAACTTTTTCCAAATCCTATCAGCAGTACAGAAGATGTACTGCGCCGACCCAAAGTGATCGGGAAATGGGCAGGGAGAAGAAGAAGCCCTATAAAATAGTTTTTACAAAAGACTTAAAAATATTAGTGACGCCGCAGTAAGTGCGTACATATGTATATTGCATTATTGGTATTCGCTTGACATCGTCAACTAGGTACGTTGAAAGTCATAGATTCGATATCTCGTTGAAGTAAATATTTGTATGTTTGTTTATTAAGGTAAACATTTTAGATTATAACTATTTATACAAATAATAAGTAATTATGTATTATAAATATAAGTAATTACTTATAGGTTTTTTTAAAGCAGAGATTACTTACTTTTCTAACTTTACCGCCCAAATCCATAGGATGTGTCACCACAATTGTATACGAAGTCCCATGTTCCAACCTGCAATAAAATCAGCATGTAGTATTTAAATGGAATATTTTATTTCAACAATTTAATTTAATATTTATGAAAAGTTGATCATACTTGACGTAATTATTAGGTGTAAGATCCATTCCTCTTATAACTCCCCTATCTGATAATAAGGTTACTTTTAAGAAGCCCTGAAAGAAATTCATTGTAATTATGAATAAAATTTTTTTTAAAGAAAATAGGAAATATTCGAATTATAATATTATTAGTAGGATAAAATACAAAACGATTTTATTACCTGTACCCACGACTCGGCTCCTTTTGGGTTTGCCAAATGAATTACTACTTTGTAATGACGTTCTGAAACCAAACATTGCTTTTATCACCATTTTTTCTAAAAAAATATATTTCTTAAATGTAGCAAAAAATGATTTTTTTTTGCTACAATTAAGTATTTATCTTTTTTAATTTTTTTTACTTTGCTTTACTTTTATGCAAATTTATTTTTTTAATGAAAAGGTATATTTTAAAGGAATAATGACGATAAACTTACGACAAAAAGGTTGTTCTTTCCCTGTATTTAAAAAATATTTAGCTCCAATAGTATCTTGTTCTTCTGAAGGATACACTTCATTTTCCGTTTGATTGTTTTTATTTGTTATAAGACCAGGAGAACTATCTGCATGGAATCTAAAGAACCACCATTTTGGTATAATAATAAGTTCATTTAAGTATCTACTTACATTACAATACCTAATAGAAAATTTTCTGACGCTCTTTCTAAACTTTTGCCGTTATTGAGTAGTACGAGTACTACTCAATAACGGCAAAACTTATTAAGATGAAACATGGCGTTTAGGATGCCGCAGTGCCAATAATGAGTTCCTGCGAAGTACTAAATATAGCACAATATACCCTTCATCAAACAAACTAAACAGAACTGGGATGTTTAATTTTGCTATTGAAATAACAATATAGGTAACTCGTTGTATTTTATCATCCATATTATTATCCCTATTATTTGGTATAGTTTTTATTAGTGGAATACTTACCCCATGATGGCGCAACCGTGGCCACAGTGGAAACATTTACCAGATATAAAATGTTGATATGAGGGGCATTGGTGGCCTAAAATGTATAATTAAAGCTATGTAAGTTAAATCAATATAAAACATATTAAATCTATTTATATAATACTCAAAGCCTGTACACCTAATAAATTTTATAGGACTACGATCTTTACACTTATGCCTGCCTTATTCTACGCTAAATATTTCATATTATACCTAATATAATATGAATTGTGCTTAATGGTATTAATCTAAAAGTACCTTGATTATTTATTATTGCATTTGTATTTTCAAATTATGAGTGAAACAACTTGCTGCTGACTTTACTAACAATAATCACGAGTTTCTACCGTACCTACGGAGACCTTTCGAAGACCGTTGCAGTTATTATTTTTTTCATATGGGTAATTATGCCATAAAAAATTATAATACCAAAAAATTTCTATACTAATATTATAAAGAGGTAAAGTTTGTGAATTTGTGACGTTGCAGGGGGAAATCTCTGGATCTACTGAACCGATTTAGATGAAATTTGTAAGAAGATAGTTTGAAACCCTGGAAAGGACACAGAATACTTTTTATCCCGGAAATCATCCCTTAAGGGGTGAAAATGGGGATGAAAGTTTTTATAGGGAATTAAGCTAAATATTTAAAGTTTTTATAAAAGCTTAAATATTTTTTCAAGCAAAATGTGAAGATTTAATCTAAAATACATCTAAAAATATGGTTATAACATGATTAGAATTAAAACGTCAGTTGATATTTTTTCTATTTAGTCTTATTTTGATTATTCAGATAGTTAAATCACCTACCTATATAAGGACATTTTCCATTAATTGACTCTGTAAAAAGTTTAATAGCTCGCACGTGATTGCAGGCAACTAGAACTCTAGAGGCTTCTTCCAAGCCTTGCTTGACTAAAGTCAACGGTATCAAGGGGCCTTCTGTTAAATCACAACCCGGTTGTTCCTTTCCATTATTTGGGTAGAAATCCAAATGTCCAACAGGTTGAGACATCCCATACCCTGCCATAAATACAAAATCTGTCGCATGGTGGAATAAAGACGTAGATAAATTAGTAAATAGCAATAATATATATAATATAATACATACAATGAAATGAATCTAGCCTATTAGCGATATTTACATAAATAGATACATATGTTAGTATATTAATTGAAGGACAGCAATAAGCTTTAATCAAACGTCAACCTACATGGTTAATGATGTGATAGATACATGTGATATGTACATTGTACAATGATAATAGTGTTAATAACAAGCATAGTGGTAATAGAAGGAAGTATCGCAAATTGAGATCGTGTTAAAGTGTATGAGATGAAAATGTTTATAGGCATACATATATTGTACATAGAATACTTAAGACATGTTCTATTTTCTATATCATTACAGAAATTAAAAAAATAATAATTTAAAATATGAAATTAAAATCTACAAAAAATAACATTGGTACATTTTCCAACACAAGTACCGTTTGATAAAAAATTAAGCAATTTCTTCATTTCATACATGACCAAATATGTATCACAATTCAATTTGCGATATTACACATTTTTATTTATATACATACATAAACATTATAATATGTATATGTGCAGGATTTTAGGTTTACCTAATAAGAAAATGCTTTTCCCATCTGTATGTATAACATCGACCAGTTGCGCGTCCGTCGGGTCCAATCTAACATGTGTAGGCATTCCTTGAAAATAAGGTTCTGCCGGATCTAGACCAGTAATTCTTCCTAAGTCCTAAAATAATTAAAGCTACATCAAAGATAATAAGAAAATTAAGATGCCAATAGAAAATGAAATGTTTGGTTATCACAGGAAGTGACTTATTTCAAATGAATTATTAAAATTGTTATTTTGTCACTTTTTTAATATTATTTTAATATATAATAAACCTTTTTTTAAATTATTATTTAATGATAAAAATCTTCCTACGATAACCATTTCAAACAAAAGTATAACTAAAGTAACATTAAAAATCACTTACCTTTATTCTCTCTCCTGCATATCCTGCTGTATGAGCTCCTAACGAATGACCTATTATGTGAACGTCCAAAGGGTTTAACCCGTGGTCTTTCTGTAATTAATTTCAGTAATTATTCGTTAAAAACAGCATATAATAATACAAAATTTTATAAAATATAGTTAAGAACAAAATTAAAATTCTAACATAAGACAAACAACAAACTACACTAACAATATTTATCAAAAAAGAAACAATAACTTTTTTTAAGTTAGAAAAGATGGCTTCTTGTAAAACCATTTATTTTCATACTCAACATATGTAAATATACCTGTAGTGTGTTTACGAAGTGGGCCACTTCGAGACCAACTAGTCTAGTATTCGCTGTGGCTTGAGTGTAAAGCGGCAGGCTGCCACCCGCCCAGTCGACAATAACCACGTTAAAATCGTCAGCTTTCACCAATTCGTCTTTCATCTCGCTAACCTGTTATTTTAATAAATAACTACATATTAAAGGCGTTCTCATACACTTAGACTTTACAGTAAGCTTTCACGACAACTAGTACACAAACAAGCAGGTAATATTAAACACTAAGTAAGAGTTTAAGTTTTTAATAAAAACTATGGGCCTTAAAGCATTACACCGCAATTTAGTTTATTAATTTTAACATATTGTCTTCACCAAATAGTAAAAAATTGATGATTTATTAAGCACATGATTTCATTACTCATAAATATTGTAATTATTCAAACAAGGAACTTAATATACATATTATGTAATATGTATTTACTTGAAAGGTTTTCCTCTAACATTTGTAATCTCTCTATGTTTCATATGCCAGCCGATACAAATCAAAGCACACCGACTTCGAAAATATTTGATTAGGTATCTATAGTAAATGAAAATTACCCATCAGTTATTTTTTACTTTTTAGTGCTTTTTTGAAGTCGTTTTTTTTTTAAGTTTTTATATTGGATGAATTATTTTCAATTACAATTAGTACCTATTATATAAATATGCGACATGTTATTTTGTTATGCAAACACGCTGCTCACAAAGTATAAATGATAAGAAATAGCTACATATTACATGATACATGTATTTAAATCTATTTTATTAATTAGTGTTCAGATTTCATGACATTCACGTCGCTTTAAGCTTTTAAGCCGTAGGCGAATATTACGAAATAACTTTAAGATGACATTTAAAAGCATATAAAAATATATTAACGCGTGTTACCCACATTCGCTGTGAGTTTTTGCGAGGATTTAATCATGTTTCTCGTGGACACGATAAAATTGGTCAAATGAGAGTAAGACTTGCGCACGAAGGGTTTCGTTCGTACTAATTCATATTATATTTGCGTTACATATGTATGTATGTAATTTTAATAAAATAGAGCTATTTATCGAATAGTTGTAGAAAGGTGGTATAAATAGGAATATGTAGGGTCCAATCTCGACCCTTCGAACACGGAACCCTAAAAACGTAAGACTAAATGCCACATATAAACCAAAAACTTATGTAACATATATTCAAATAAGAAAAGAAATTAAAATACTTTTATCACTAATATAGTTTTCAATTAGAACTTAGACCCCAGAGATTTAAATGTTAGTAAAAGCATTTTGAATGATAAATATGAGTTGTTCTAAGCTTTACTAGTCAAACGTTTAAACTTTATTATTTCAATCAAGAAAAATATATAGATTAAGCTCATATTATAATATATATTTTTATATTACTAATATGTATGTATTTAAACTTATATATGAGTAGTGTACTATCTCGTATCCATAACACAGGCCATTACCATGGAACTAGATGGTGCTGTGAGTTAATGTCCCAACACATTTATTATTATTATTTATAATCATTACAAATGTTATCTGTCTGCCTGATTATGTTTGTTTATAACAGAACTTTCACTGGCAAAAAGAGACATAAGAAACTTTTTACTTGGAAAAGAAAAAAAGGAACGGGTGCGAGATACAGGGTCAAGGAGAAAATGATAATTATACGTAGATAACTAGGTACATACATATAGGTATTGGCTATTTTTTACTAACATTAGATGAAGTCACAAGTGAAAGATAGTACTTAATATTGTATTTTTAAAATATTTACCCAGTTAGACAACGGCGTGTCAATGAACCCGTGTATTATCATTTTAGTGAGACGTTTTGGACTGAAATTTGATTTTATGATAGTTTTGTTAGCGTTGACGTTTAATATTTGGCCGTCTGTTGGATTCTTCTTCGTGTATAAGATGAATCTGTAATAAAAAAATAAACTTCTTGAGCTTTAATAGTATATTATTGCTATTATTATTGCAAACATTTGTTATCACTTATCAGTCAAACTGGCGTAGGTAACTAATAGGACGCGCTAAGCCACAAACCGTACTCTCCGTACACTATGTGTGTACACTCACAAATGCAATGCAAAGCTGAGCTTAAGGCGCGAGAACTGCATATAATATTCTTTATATTATCTAAGACCACCTAGCGTTTGTATTTTGTCTTCAGAGTAGGTGTCAATTTATAAGTTACTAGCGACTCACCCTCGCTTCGCTTAGGTTCATCCCTAGATACGTTTTAAAGCTTAGTATGGGAAAGCTGGAAAGCATGGAATAGACCTTATTTCGATTTTTTTTTCATTAATTTTCTTGATGTTTTAATACTTATTCTGTTATTCGGGTTGAAGACAAATCGAACAAAACAAAGATTATAAAAATCGGCCCAGCAGTTTTCGAGTGTGTTCTAATAAACCCGACTTTGTTTTATATATATAGATAGATTTGTAAAATACATATTTTACACGTGTTAGTAATAATATATTTTGTAGTGCAAGATAAAAAAAACATTTATTACCTTGTGTTAATGACGACTCTAGGCAATGGAAAAACATTGAACGGTCGATGTATTAGATGGTACCAACTGCGCGTAATGTTCAAACATCCTAATTCATCGTAACACCTTGTTTCGTTCTCAACTGAAATGTATAAAAATATTACAGTCGTAATTTCTTGTGATTTTGTATATCTTTGCTAAACATAAAAAAATACATTCTATAATATTTTGCGTTATTTTTACTTAATATTATTTGTAATATTTCCTATACATAATTTTCCTCCGATATAGGTATGACAATTATTTCCTTTTTTTTAAAAAAAACCTTATTTCGGATATTATTTTAACACAAAAATGAAATACTTACATGGCAGCCATGGTATATTAACTTCTATTCTATCAGAACGTGCCCAATTAAATGGATCCAAGATACCGCCGAAAGCTGGTTGTAGACCCAACAGGATACACCATAACATCACACGTAAACGTCTGTCAGTTAAGTAAAGCCTTCGCATAATATTGAACCTGAAAAGTAAAATATATTCAGAAATAAACATTTATATAATTATTTGGAACATCTAATGTATTGGTAAACTACTACAAAAGATTCGCTTATTACAGTAATAATCTTTAAAAGTAACTTATACTTCAGTAGTAATACTTCAATGCTTACTGGTGTTTTTAAAACTACCAACTACCAACGCCCCGATAGAGTACCTAATGGTACACTTTTATAAAAAAATCTACGTATACAAAATGAAGTAAAAAACCACATTCCTAATATGGCGATAAACTATTAAGTACATATACGTTATTTCTAAAGATTATTTAAAAAACCGTCCAAAGCCATATGTTGTTTCATTTTACTAATATAGTATAAATGTTACTTAGCTAATTAACAATGGCCAATTTATTAATGGAAAGCTTCCATATATAACTTTAGCATATTATAGCGTAACGACTAACCAACGACCGGTCCTAGTTTCTCTCAAACCCTAACTGCACCCCGCGGGTCTTATAGCAACTTTTACTTTAACGACTGTTACATTACAGAATATTTGTTTAAATAATATCGTATCTATCATGATCTATCATCCTGTATCTTGCGAGACAGAATATAAACATTTTGTTATAATAAAATCTATAATATAATAAAATCATTTTTTAACATGGCTACCGCTTCCTAATACGATAAAGGAAAACATCGTTAGAAAATATGGACATATATATATATGCATGTGTGGAAGAACTAAGCCTAACTAGTTTTAGGAAGACGTGTGAAGTCCGCCAACCCGCATTTGGCCAGCATTGTGGACTTGGCCAATTTCTCCCTCAAATTACGAGTAAGAAGGGGTTGTTCCTAGGATTTTAAAAAGGCAGAATTGTTTTCTTTCATTTTTGTTTTACTAAACTGCTGCTTATCAAAAAAACATATTAATAATTTGAAATGTGGTACAATAATATCACGAGCGTCTTATTTCTCTTAAAACGTCATGGGGCCCAAAATTTGACATCCAAGTTGTTTTTTAAAATATGGTTTTTGACGAAAAATTGATCATGGGTCACAACTCACAGTTACTGGGCTGTATCATTCAAAAATTGTAACAAAAGTACGTAACAGGTGAGGATAAGGATGAAATCACAACGGATCTTAGACTATTAAATATATATTTCAGAATTACAAAAAACGTAACTTATGAGTATACAGGTAAACTTTCAAGGATAAGTGAAAAATTTACTTATTTGACAAATATTAATGACAATCAATTATCTACATTTATGTCCATGTTTACTAAATATAATAATAATTATAAATCAATCGCATTGAACCCTATTAACACGTTTATTATAATGTACAGGAGTGAATAATTTCCTCCGTTTTTTAGTAATACCTAAGTGCAGAATGCGGAAGACATTGCGTGTTATATTTCTTATGCAACTGCTTATGAACATCGTTATGTTGTGGTGTTGTGCGTTATTACTGCGAAGTTAAACTGAGAATCTTTTTAATAGTATTACTCGTAGTTACTACACAGTATGAATTGAAATGGTTTCAAAGTTAGTAGATTTTGTAGAGATTAGGTTTCCTTTAACTAAAAAAATTAACCAAATTATTTAATTAACAATTAACCAAATTATGATGCTTTGGCAATATAATTGATTCTTCGTCATTTTATCTCAGGGATTTGAATTATTAAAATCATATGAGTATGATCTATGTGCCGCTGGACATGCATTGAGGGAGGACACACCACTACAAAATACCTATACCCGATTTTGTAACATAATCACATCTAGTTTGACGCTTACACATATATAATGGTTTTTTTATGATTAAAGGACTTTAAATCCCAATTGTAAGGTTTTGATTTTAATTTGATTCAGTAGGCAAACCCTCGTAATATCGTCACGTGTGAACGTCATAGATGACAATATGTTTGAAATTTGTGTAAGTATCTCATGTGAACCCTTATCTTAAGTACATATATAATGATGTAGTAAACTATTTACCATTATAAGCCCCCATATTCCTTAGTAATTTTTTAATGGAGGGATCAAAAATTCAGAATTTTATAATAACATAATAAATAGTTTTTATAATGTGGGATATTTAAGTTTTATGAATATTTGCTTTGTTAGTTTTAAAGCTAACTGGAACACTAACTTTTTAAATATTTAATAATAATCCATTCTCATAACAAATATTTTGAAAAGATAATATAGAACGACCGACAAACTGACAACTGGACTGAACTGGACTTCGTATGCGATATAAAATATTAAAATGTAAAAATTGTTGAGGTCTTTTTTCTCGCTATTTTCAATACATAAGGAACTATTAGGTATATCAAGTTTCACTTAAGCCTATGTATTATTTATGTATTTCCAGTGATAATTACATTAATATAGTATTTTTAAATAAAAAACACGATTTTTTTAGGTTAGCTAGAAATAGGTTTTGTTGCTGTAATAACTGCTTCCTACATTTCACTATTGTAAAAATGAATTAGAAAAGAATTCTCACGTTTTAAAGAGGTCATTTGACATTCTTAGCATGCGTTGCTCCAATTACCGATTCTATCTACACTATGAGAACTTTTACTTCAACAGTTTCGTAACAACGTAGATATTTTTATTTTATTTTTTCTTCTGCACGTCTTGATATTAATTAAGTGTTGTAAAGAATAAATTATACCTACGGTCGCAAGTGAAGTGTGAAGGAAGGAAAATAAATAACAACTTTGTTATAGAATTGTAAAAATAAACAAAGTTCTCCAAATATAAGCAATAAAATAAAATTACTAGGCATGTACATCCGATGATCAGCCGTAACGATGTTACTTATGTAACTTATAAACATATAGTAAGTATGGATTTACATCTCCGTATACTGCTAAAGGCTTTGCGGTTCTACATTCCTTTAAACTTACTAAAAATTTACGTTATGTTTTAGGTTAAAAATTTAACCGTTCAAGATAATATAAAAAACAGCAATAACAAAAAATGGAGAATATATACCTTAAATTTATTTCCTCTGTAGTATATTTTCTACATATATTTAACTGCATCTGTGGTCTAGTGACTAACATGTACGGTAGCTGATCCGAAGATTTTGAGTTCGCATCCCAGGTCGCGTGAAGTTTAGTTATTGAGTCTTTCTGTTAAGAAAGCCTCAGTAAAAAAACAGAAGTTGGTGGTGTTTCACCAACGTGTCTCGGAGAGCACGTAAACCCATCGGTATCTTATCTCTCACTAGTCGTGGCGAATTGTCGTCTTTGTACACTATAATATCCCCTGCGAAGTGAGATTGGCTGCTGTGGCCAAAATCAATTAAGAGGAGATCAACTTTATATATATTATTATATTTGGGGGATTATAAGTACATGAATAGATTTATTTATAATATCGTTTATGGGCCTCTAAAAGTCATTATTGATTTGTATGTAATTATGTATCTCATGTAATTATGGGTACGAGATCCGAACCAAAAAAATTACTTGATTTTTATGTCCAAATCTCACACTGAAAAAATATAATTACACTAGCCATCTAGAAGACTTTTTACTGAAATTGATCGTCTGAATCGTTTTAAAGGTTATTGAATAATTTTCATTAAAAAAATCCTTAGATTTAATCACTGACACAAAACAACACACAGCTTGGGCCACTCTGTCTAGAAGTAATGAGCAAAAGTTTTTTATGTAACGAAAATAGTACTAATAAAGGATTTTTAAGTTGTTATATTTTTAAATTTTTATATTGATTAAGAGAGTTTATATGGAAGTTCGTCTTTTCGAAAATAGAAATGTGGGAATTAATGTTGAAGTCCTGTTTATATTGCCGAGAGAAATCTTATCTGCTCTGTTTGAGATACTATATTTCACTATAACAACTTAAACACTATTGTTTAAAAACCTTCTGATAAATCTACAATAGTATCGTACCTAAATTGATTTGCTTGAAAAATTCATAAAATATTTGAAATAAAAATTATAAGCTATTTTAATTTCTGAAAGGAAAGTTATCTATAGTAATATCTACGTGAGAGGTTTTTTGTTCAATTTAATTCATGAGATTATTCAATTTTAATCGTCAAATTGCTGACTAGTTTTCAATGTTTATGTAAATGTTTAACTAAAATAATTTCCTTTGCGAATTTATTGTTTAACTACTAACTATGCTATTATATTAGATAATCGATTTTACTTTATTTTTGTTCATTGCAATAATAGACTTAAACTTTCACTTTCTATATTCGGGCAATCATTATTAAAATTATTGGCAAGTAACTAATAGTAATAGTAATATCTTATTTGAAGAAACAAAAAATAATAAAATTACAAACCAAATACGTCTGGATTATGCAGAATTAAGAATAGTTTGCTAACATTAACTTGTCATTAAAGATACAATTTAATTGTATGTCGCAAGGAATTCGAACGGCCTTTACGTAATCGATGTGGCTTAATGTAACTCACATAGAAAGGATGGCATAACAGGGACTTTGTATTGCGATTTTAGCTTTTGAAACGTATAGTCTTACCAAGTCTGCATCTTATGTATAAGTAGATTAACAGATATATAGGAACTGATTACAAGTGGCCATACTACATAGTTGGTATTTAGCTCAAATATGTGGTTAAATAAGAATTCGCTGTGCGTGTTCTAGAAGTTGCTCGTATCTTTACGATTTTCTAGGAGAGTATGTCACCAGATGTAGCTGTTTAATGAATGACAAGCAGATGCTCTGCATCGAAATCGAGACATTTGACCTCTAATATTAATTTTGTATGGGTAAAAATACAAATATTTCAATTAAATTTTGAATTATTACTTTAATGAAAAGAATTGAAAAGCTTTTCCATTACTACTATGGTATAATAGATGCATAATTAAATAAAACGCGTTTTTAATTTATGCATGAATGAAATAGTTATTGGAGCGACAAAATTCCTAAATACTTTCAGCTAAATTGAAATATTCGTAATGTAAACGCACAGGTACCTACGATATATTTGTACATA